CTCTTCATACACAATAATATCATCAAATTCATTAGGAACAATGGGCCAATTACTATATTTTGATAGAGGAGATCAAGCCCTAACAAAAATTAAAGGCCAATTACATCAAAAAATTGAAGAATTCAATTTTGGACTTGAAGATCAATATCTTTGTATTCTTTCATGATCCGGGTGATTTTTTTTTTTCCTTTATTTTTCTTGTAATTTATATATTGATATGCTAGGCTAGATCCACATTTGTATTGGATAAAGATGAACCATATTCGTTATTTATTTCTAATTTAAGACTAGTAATTTAGTTTAATTTATGTGTTTCTTAATTAATTTTGCATATCTATTATATTATTTAATTGATTGGTCACTAATTAGATAATTAGTTGCTTGTTGTAGTGTTGGAAAACTTAAAATAAGTTTAGAACTCAATAAAATTAACACGTGCAATAGATGTTTGGAATAATATTTATCATGTGTACAATCATATTAATAATATAAAATTTAATGTGTTTTAACCATTTGAATTTGGGCTAGGAATAGATTCGAGTTGTGGTTGGGATATAATTAATTTGTTTTGGAAAAGAAAGTTCAATACATTAGTTTTATTGATTGTCATGAGCGCACGAACTGAACTAGATTGTGTATCAAGAATTGAAATAGATAGCTATAGACGAATTCTAGATCCAATACAATCATCCATAATTTGATAAAAATCAAACATCCATTACTTTGTTAGATTAATTTAGCAAAAATAAAATCAAAATCTCTCTTTTGTTTTACATAATTTGAACTCTATACATAACTAATAAACTTGAATTGAAGTTATTCCTAGTGGGACGTCACTCTATACATAATTTGAAGTTATTCATTGTCCATTGATCTGTTTGAATAATGCTGTTCATCTTTCTTAAAATCCTTTTAGATTTAAGTATATTTTTTTTTCCTCGCAATGGATGTTTGTTTTCTTTTCTTGCTTGTGGAATCTTTCTGTTTTTCTTTAAATAAGAAAACATCGGAATGCTATATGAAAAATGTAGCAAAGCTCGATGTTGAATTTACAGTTGAATAGGGGAAATTTTGCCAGTTGGGCATAAGAATGTGATTGAAGCTCGAAGGATTCCAAGGAGGATTTGCAAAAGGAATTTTGCAAAGGAGAGAATAAACAGGAGCATATAGGAGCAATATTAAATATGTATCAATATCTGAAAAAGTAATTTTTATGGGAATGAAAGAAGAAGATTATATAATCAATCAATTCTTGAAAGAAGTAATATTTGGCTCGACTAATGAATTTTACAAATGCTTACAGTTATTATTAGCTTAATAATATTCACGCTATTAGATCTAAAAAGATACGAAAAATTATAAAGAACTTATATTGAGTGACAAGAGTGACCGTGAATGCTCAATTATAATAAATACACCACATGACACATGTTGAATACTTTTAAATGACTAAAATTGTACTTTTAAATTTGTTAAGCTTTAAGTAATTTTGAATTTCATCAAAATGACTGAAAACAAAATTTGGAAGTTTCCAATTCTACCAATTTCATAAAGATAATTATCTAAGAATTGAATCATTTGCTATTAAGATTAATTCTACAAAACCATCAAAGGAGACGAGACAATCTTAAGGTGTGTTTGATTACATTTATTTTCCATGGAAAATATCAGTTTTCCACCTAAATTTCTACTTGGAGTGTTTGATTACTATTTTTTTCCATGGAAAACATTTTCCAACTTTTGAAAATATGCCTAATTTTCCTTATTTTTAAGGAAAATATTTTCCTTGGGTAGATGTGGTTTTTATTTTCCACAAAAGATGGAAAATATTTTCTTTTCTAGGTGATATTTTCCATATCAATCAAACACACTCTTAGTTCAAGGAAAGGCATTTTTTTATTTTAAATAAATAATAACAATAAAATAAAGCTTTTAACCGTTTATGGTAACTTAGGCAACAAGCAACCATAGAAGCCCAACCTGAACAGAAGAATTTCCTTAGGGGCGACTCCGTCCGTTTATGGTAACTAAGGCGGCAAGCTTTTTCTGAATATATAGCCGTTAATCGTAATCCCCCATCCCATATACATTGGCCTTCTGTATCAATCAAGAAATCCCAACAATCCCATTATTTCAACTGAATCAATCTCTCGCTTACATTGCACAGGACACTCTCGGGTCGCACTCGCAACCAGCAATCCGCTTTGGCTCTCTCTTTCTAATATTAAATTCAATTTCTTGGTTGTTATTTGCTTTAATTCTGCTTTTGGTTGTTAAATCTAACGCTTTTTGCAGGCTTCTTCATTTTTCTTGTTTCAGTTATTCTTTTTTTGTTTGCAGGGAATTCTATTTCTCGCTCTCTTACTTTTTTAACTTCATATATCTTTTGTTGCTTGTGTATTTATTTTTGTGCTAACGGTAATGAAAATTCGAAGTGTTAATACATCTGCATCTTCGAACAAGACTCAATCGCAAAGCCCGCTTCAGGAACCGTTCCTTCAAACACGGAGTTCGTGGGAGAATGTATGTGGTTGTTTTACTATGTTTAATATTCTAGTATAGGACAGATATACCTATGTTAAGAAACTTACTGGAATTGGGAGAAAAAGAAAGAAAAATTAATTTGAAATTGGTCATGTTTTTCCGAGATCACACTTCCGTCAATTGCATTCAATGATTTTCGATTTAATTATACAAATTGGGTGGATTTTATTTGTTTTACAATGATGGGTGTTTGATATGATCGTTTTCAAATTGTCTCTTTTATAAGAGGGAAGAAAATAATTATCTTAAAATCGAGTATATATTTTTCCAATTCTGATTCCAAGTTCCACGCTATCTCATCTGCAATTATGTTTTTATGTTTTTCAATTTTATTAGACAAATTAGGTAGTTTTTATTTGCTTTAAAATATGTGTTTTGAATATGATTTATAATCTTAGGGTTTTGAAGTTGTCCGACAAGTTTAAATTGAACTCTGACACCTGTTTTTCTTCTGGGGTTTAAATTGGATTTTATAATGTGTTTAATTTATGTTAATTTTAGACCAACATAACTGTCTATCTGAAAATCAGGATGCTTTTGTTTTGTGCAGTTGGACTTGTTCATACCGAACAGATCAGCGATGAATTTTGACTACGCGCGTTACATGCTTGCAGAAGCAAGGAAAGGTAAGAAAAATCCTACGCTTGTCTCTCTATCAAGAGAGGCGTACAGAAAACAGATTGCTGAAGCCTTGAATATGAATAGGACGAGGATTCTTGCTTTTAAGAACAAACTGCCTACCCGCAAAGAGACAATTTCGAATGAGTTTGCATTGGAGGCCAAACCCTCAAAACCCAGTCGGCGTATTCCCAAGGTTAATGTTGTTTATATTGGTTTCATGAAATTTTATCCAATTGGATGGGAGAGTTTTTTACCATGAATGTTTCCTTAAAAAATATAAATCAACTCAATTCAATTTGTATATTTATGCAAACTTCAGAGAGGACTTTAAATGCTCGTCATATTGTGGATGATTACTACTTGAACCTGTTAGATTGGGGCAGCAGCAACGTTCTCTCCCTTGCTCTTGGAAATACCGTGTATGTGGGATGCATCTAAAGGTGCTACATCAGCACTTGTCACAATTGATGAAGAAAATGGCCCTGTTACCAGTGTCAAATAGGCTCCCGAAACAAACTGCCTACCCGCAAAGAGACAATTTCGAATGAGTTTGCATCGGAGGCCAAACCCTCAAAACCCAGTCGGCGTATTCCCAAGGTTATTGTTGTTTATATTGGTTTCATGAAATTCTATCCAATTGGATGGGAGAGTTTTTTACCATGAATGTTTCCTTAAAAAAGTATAAATCAACTCAATTTTCAATTTGTATATTTATGCAGACTTCCGAGAGGACTTTAAATGCTCGTCATATTGTGGATGATTACTACTTGAACTTGTTAGATTGGGGCAGCAGCAACGTTCTCTCCCTTGCTCTTGGAAATACCGTGTATGTGGGATGCATCTAAAGGTGCTACATCAGCACTTGTCACAATTGATGAAGAAAATGGCCTTGTTACCAGTGTCAAATGGGCTCCCGATGGACGGCACATTGCTGTTGGCCTGAACAACTCTGAAGTTCAGATATAGGATTAGACAGCCGCTAGACAGTTGCACTTATCCTCTAATATTTTCTGATCATTTATAAAGGATTGGACTCAGACTCAAATCTTGCTGGGTACCTCTATCGAATTAATTTGACATGGATAGAGGTCTATTTTGTCCAATCCAGTTGACCAATTTTAAACCTACAATTCGTTTAACAGGTCTTAGTATTGCATTAAATGCTTATTTTTATTCAATTCCAATGCAGCTGAGAACTTTGAGAGGCGTTCATGGGTCACGAGTTGGTGCTTTGGACTGGAACAATCACATTTTGACTACTGGTGGCATGGATGGTAAGATCATTAACAATGATGTTAGAGTGAGGGCATACGTTGTTGAAACTTATAGAGGACACACTCAAGAAGTTTGTGGGCTTAAATGGTCAGCCTCTGGCTCGAAGTTAGCAAGTGGTGAAAATGATAATTTTTTGCACATATGGGACAGAACCATGGCTTCATCTAATTCTCCAACATGGTGGCTGCACATGTTACAACCCAATTTTTCTTAGTCAAAAGTCCAGAGTTGAATTTTCAAAATCAAAGTCACATAGGGACTTAAATGAAATAAATGACTTTATTGGGACTTGAATTGACTAAAATATTTTATTGGGGTTTATTTTGCAATTGACAATATATGAGGGTTACATTGGATACAATTGGAAGTTGAAAATATACTTATACATTTTTGGAAAGTTTAGGATTTAAATGTTAGCTCATATTAGAGAAGAGGGACTTTTCTTACAATTTGGAGTTAGTGAGTTTTTAATGCCTTTGACCATCACTTTTTCTCTCATAAATCACACACACACACACTAGAAGAAAGAAAGAACCGGCAGAGAAGAAGAAAAAGGGAAAGAAATTGGGAAGAAAAAGAAGAAGAAAAGGAAGGAAAGGAAAAAGAAAGGAAAAGAGGTAGTGGCTATTCCAATTTCATTTTCAATTTGTCTAATTTCTTTAAAAGATATGGTATGTTTTATGCTTAGATTTTTAGAGTTTTGATTTTATTTGTTTAATTTTCAGATTTAAAGGAAGGAATATATATGTTTTCAAGTCAATATTTTTGAATTGGAGATGCTGTTTACACTAAGGTAAGAAATACCAATTTTGGGCAAAACCCAAGAATTTTCATTTGGGTTTTTGAATGAGTTTAGTTAATGGGAAAATTTGTAAGGATGAAATACTCATTTGAAGGCATGAATTTATGGATCAAGATGGGAAATTAAATTGGTTAAATTATGATTATTAATTTTACTAGTTTGGAAGAAGGAATTATTTTTATGTTTGGAGTGAAGATTATTGTAATGAATTAGCTATAAAGAAATGGACTAGAAAGTGGAATTAGTTTGAAGTGATTAAAGGAAATTGGGGAAAATATTATTGAAGTATCGAGAAGTCAAGTTTTAGTATTCGATTACTAGTATTAAGAAATACTTAGTATGGAAGTTGTTAAATTAGTTATTTGTAATTTATTACAGGTGGTGACGAAGAATTGGAAAAGCTTACCTTCCGGCCTAGTCTGTAGCTCGTATTGAGTGAGTGGATAAAACTTATTTATTAGAAATAAGTCTTCTTTAAATTTTAAAGTTATTTATTTTATAAAGTTGACTTCATAGCATGATTTTCAGAATAAAATGGATTTTATTATCGATTGCTTTTAAAGTTAAATTCAGTTTAGTTAAATTATTTTAGTAGCATGTTATATTCTTATTACATGTTTCAATATAGTTAAAGTTATTTTTAAAAACCACCAGAAAGTACCAAGGTGAATTTACCCCAATTTGCACTGATGTGAATGTGTTTCCACAGTGTATGACTAGTTATAGTGATTTTACCCGCTCTGCACTATCGTGAATGTGTTTCCATAATGTATGACCAGATTATCAGAGGTCTTTGGGACCCACTCTCGTACACACATAGGCTTTGGGCCGTGTACTAGAGTGATTAGCCTTTGGGGCAGTTCTGCGTACGTATGACCAGATTATCAGATTATCAGCTATCAGATTATCAGATTTGAATGGCTTGCCTTGTACATCGAGATTACTCTGTACATGTGTAAGGCTATTCATTGGGTACTCTTTTTGGTGTGATTTTTTTTAGTATTTATTCAATTTTCAGATTTCAGATTATGGAATTCAGTTAATTTAGTTTTCAGAATAAAGCTTTCAGCTTATAGTATTGACCAGTAGCAATATTTCATAGATTTTCATGAATATCAGATTATTCGTTAAATTTACATCTACTTATCTAGAATTACAGAATTTCGGAATTACATAATTTCAGAATTGAATAGCTTTGCCATGTCTATCGGTGTAAACCGATACATGAGTATAGTTATTTAGGTTACCTTTTTGGTGTGACTTTTCAGTATTATACAGCTTATCAGATTTCAAAATACAGAATTTAGCTTATTCAGTTTAAAGAATAAAGATTTAGCTTAAAGTACCGTGAATGATATTTTTATCATAAACCAGTTTTTAGAATGTTAACATAAATGGAAAAAGTATTTTTATTTACAAAATTATCCAATCACTGAGTTATAGGCTCACATTTTATTTTTTTACATTTTCTCTTATCAGATAGTAGCTGAGTTGAGCACTACTGGGCCAGTTGATCTATCGAGTTGAACTATAAATTGTCAAGCATTGTATGACTCATCTTGTCAGTTTAATGGTTCATATTTTGGAATAGACACCTCTTTTGGTCAGAAATTAATTCCATGTTTTGGGCCTGCTATGTTTTATATATATTATGCATTTTGGGTACTGTGGTTTATAAATTGTTGCAAAGGTTAAATTGCCAGTGTTGTATTTGAATAGTTGATTTTCTGTGAGCCAGTGTACCATATTTTAAACTATATGTATCTGTTTGGGATATTGGATTATATATTTCAGGTGGTTTTAGTCTATAATTCAGGGGGAACTCTGCCAAAATTTTTACAAAGCATATCATAGTCAATACAAGTCAATGTTGCCTTGATGGTGGGTCCGGCACTTAATTGGTATCTACCATCGGCGCACGACACGTGTCGGGTGTGTTAGGATGATTCGGGACGGATCGTGTCAGCACAGGCTCAAGGAACATACTGCTGCTGTCAAAGCTCTTGCCTGGTGTCCTTTCCAGGGTAATTTACTGGCCTCTAGTGGAGTTGGAAGTGACCGGTGCATAAAATTCTGGAACATGCACACTGGTGTGTGCTTGAACTCGGTTGACACTGGCTCACAGGTGTGTGCTTTATTGTGGAATAAAAATGAGCGTGAATTGCTTAGCTCTCACGGGTTTACAAAAATCAGCTCACTCTCTGGAGATACCCCTCCATGGTGAAAATAGCTAAGCTCACTGGGCATGCATCAAGAGTTCTTTTATGGTTCAGGTACTAAGTTGTATCTTATTCGAAGAGTAATGCAATGCTACCATCTTTTAACATCTTAAATCTAATCCTTTTCTTGCTGTCTTTGATTTAGAGCCCGGATGGATGCACGGTTGCATCAGCAGCAGGAGATAAAACTCTGAGGTTTTGGAATGTTTTTGGGACACCTGAAGCGGCAAAACCTGCACCCAAGACAAATTCAGAGCCATTTGGTCACTGCAACATTCGATGATTGGAATGAGAAAGCAAAGCAGATTCTTTACTGCATGAAATTCTAAGATCGAAGAAAACAAAAATGATTAACAGTTGTTCTCTTTCATTATTCTTTTAAGCTACACAAGTCCATAGGTACAAATTATTGACAATGCCCTTTAATGTATTCATTCCACTATATGTTTTAAGCTAACTATTTTCTATAATTTCCATTTTCTTACAGGGCGTTTCTACGGCCAACTGCTCATGAGGAGTTCTGTAAATTGTTGCTTCCCTTCTGAAGCCTGTGCTCTGCTGTAGGCTTGTCATTATTTTCTTTCTTCAAGTTGTTAATGTTAATGCATCTCTTGAGAAGGCTTTGTCGGCTTCCGGGCTCAGAGCCTTAAGATAAGCACGTGAAGTTGATGGGATTGGTCAAGTTGTGGCCCTGAACAACGAAGGAGGTGAATCATGTTTTTAATTATAATTAGAAATTTCATTTTAATAAAAAGTCATTTATTGTTTTATTGCCACGCAGAATATTTTTAAAGTGTCATCATCTAGATGAATTAATTCGAATTGAGAACTTGATGTGCCCAATATTGCCCACATGTGTTTCCCATTTGCGTACACTGGGACTGAGGGTTCAAAATTCTTTCATTTTTTCATAATTTGCATCATGAAGCATGTTTAGAGAGAATTTATAAACGGTTAAAATTATAAATAGATAGAAATGAGTGGTGGATAAGTGGATGCTACTTGTGAGTCCTTGACATGTGTGGATAAAAAGTGGCTTTGAGTGTCTATAAACAGTTTATAAACATGAACCAAACATAGGCATAGTCTGATTTTCCCCATGCGTGTTTCCCGTTTGCATATAAAGGGGCTATGAGGGGGGCAAAATTTTCTTTAATTACTTTTGAATTTGCATATTGTCTGCAACCTGACTTGGTTTGTAAATCAGAAGAGCTAATGTCGTCCCCTTGTGCAACTTCTGTTGAAGCTTGCAGGAGAAACATAAAACTTAATGGTTCAGTGGCATGCTCAAAAGTGGTTAAAATTATACATAGATAGAAATATTGCCGTGAGATGGCTTTGAGGATCCTTCTTGCCAGCATTGAGGTATTTTATCTTATGAAGTTCTCAGTGTAAATTGTTCAACCATTTTGTACCATAAGCTATTTATGTGTTCAAAACAAGGTCTAGATAATTAATCCTGGATTGTCTATCCTACTTTATTTGTGCCACTATAAGCTTTCTAAATTTCCCTTTGTTATTGTCTACTTCATTGATCATTATGTTGGCTTTGTGGGGTGATATTGTGTAAACATGGAAAGGGAAACAAAGCTTCCAATTTATATTAACTTATCTCAAAGTAATTTCAGAGATGAACTAATTGCCATCTTGTATTTCTTCATTTTTTTGCTCCTGCCATTTGACATTGGATTAGGAATGATGATAGCTTTTCTAGAAATTGGACCAGGTCCCATTTAGGGTATCTATAACTACATAACCTTGGCAGTAACTCTGATCTTGATCTTAATTGTTACGCTTTTGATATTTTTTCACTTACTGGAAGGCTATATGTTCTGTGTAAAATCCTTCAACAATCTGCAATTAATTATTCACCAGAGGCATTATGTATGAAGGGTTTACAGGGTGCTTTTTCTATGCTCATTATGATAATCAGTTTTGTGATGTTGACTTAAAGAATCATTATTGAGTTCTCTTTAGGTTTCCAACTGAGCCTTGGTTTTGTACGTTCTCCATCCAAAAAGGGATTACTTGTTGGATTATTAGATGTCCTAAAATGGGAGTCTTCTTTAACAAGTCGGTTGAAATAGTTGATGACTCCTGATCCTATCCCTCTTGAAATTTTTTGAAAGATTATATGCCATTTATCATATTGAAATGATCTTGTCTTTTAACTCTCACGCTAACTTGTACTAGTGGTACATTGTTCCAGTGTTATATGTTCAGATGGATTTCTATGTGTGCGTATTTGTTCGTGTATATTCGTTAATGTTTACTGCTCAAGTTTGCTTTTCATATTATCAAGAAGAGTGAGTTGCATGACTGGCATGATTAGACTGTACATTATTTCCTCTTAATGCCACTAGTCTAGATTTGCATGTCTGATTTTTGAAGTGATTGTTTGCAGATCAGCAAGTGCAATGAAGAACACTCCTTTAAAGCTTTCATATGTTTATCAGTGCATTGATTGTGATTCTTTTCATCTCCAGCCAATTGGAAGGACTGTATCCAAGGTATGCATGTTTATACACAAGGCTTCGGTATATTTTGATGCTGCATAAATTTTAGCTGGCATGAATGACAAATGAAATTTTAAAGTTTTTGTGGTCAGAAAAGGTTCATGATATGGTATTGCATGGTTTACAAATTTCAAGTACCTGCAAAATTGTCTTCAGTGAAGCTATGCAACTGTACATATTTTTTGCTATATGCCTGCATGCATTAGGAACCTAAAGGCTGATTGATTTGAGCATTTCATTTGGAGCACTTCATAAGTAATATTCTCTTTTTGGTAAAATACAATGTCATATGCAACTTATCTTTTCTACAACTAGTATACCTTCTGATTTTTTTGCCTTTTCCTTTTTCTTCTATAGAATGCCAGCATTAGATATCTCCACGGATTTGGCCCTGTTGCTCCCCAAGAGTGCAGCGATTGTGGAAAGAAAGATAACATGGGTGGGCCCATATGCTCCCATACATGACCAAGAATGGGAGAGTGCCATTCTAGCAAATATCTCTTTCTCCACCCTTTGGTCTATTTTTCACTGCCCATGAATATTCAATTTTGCCTTGGTGATTAAGTCTTATAGCTATCTGATTTTGATTTCAATCCATTCCCAAAACCCATTCTACCTTCAAATCTTTGTTTTGGAGCACGCACACCGGTGTGTGTGCTTGAACTCGGTTGACAGTGGCTCACGGGTGTGCTTTATTGTGGAAAAAAAATGAGCGTGAATTGCTTAGCTCTCACGGGTTTACAGAAAATCAGCTCTCTCTCTGTAAATACCCCTCCATGGTGAAAATAGCTGAGTTCACTGGGCATACATCAAGAGTTCTTTTTATGGTTCAGGTAGGTACCGAGTTGTATCTTATTCGAAAAGTAATGTAATGCCACCATTTTTTAACATCTTAAATCTGATCCTTTTCTTGTGGTCTTTGATTTAGAGCCTGGATGGATGCACGGTTGCATCAGCAGCAGGAGTTGAATGTTGGTGTTAACTGTTAATGTTCACTAAAAGAGAAAGAAGGGTAGAATTTATTCACCAAGACATCAACTGATGTAGCACCAATAGGAAAATTAATAGAGAAAGAGAAAATCAACGAATATGAAGAAGAAATCAGGGAAAAGGATGATAGAAGAAGAAAATAGGGGAAGAAGAAAATTTCACCACAAGCTACCAAATATCTTTATTCAATCATCAACTGAAAATAAATTACAATGCAAAGTAGTTTAAATATTAAAAACCTAAACCCTAACTAGATTGGGCTTGGGTCAATATAAACCTAATAAAAATCCAAATCAATAAAGTCCACAAAATGAAATAAGGTCCAACTAGAAATAAATAAAAACGACTGGATGTCCTCATCAACTCTCCCGGGGTGGGAGAAAACTCGGCCCTGTCGAGTGGATATATCAATATAGGTTATAGTCAATCGTCCAACCATAAGTTGAGTGGTTGGGCAAGCTTCTTCCGGTGTCTGTAGAAATGTGTCAGTGGATGTCTGAATCTGGTGTCCTCACCAACTCCCCTTAGGTGGACGGGAGGCGATCTGGGCCAAGGAAGATCCTGCTGATTCCGATAAAGCTCCAATAAATCTGGATTCAATTGCTGTAGTGTCTCTCTAGAGATCCATGTACAGTCAGAATCTGGTCGACCAACCCAACGAACAAGAAAGTGCTGAATTTCTCCATAATTAGTTAACACAGTTTTTCATCTAAAATAGCATCAATGTTATCTTTGTGTGCTGTGAGAGGTGGTAGTGGGTTAGAAGGGGCCAAAGAATCAAAGAATCAGGGTCAAGGTCCACAAAAGGAGGTAACAGAGGATCATCTGAGGGAATGAAATGGCCATTATAAGCAGCTAAGTCATCAACATTGAAAATAGAGTGGTAACCAAGGTGAGGTGGAATGTCAACAACATATGAATTTGGACTAACTTGCTTTAAAATTTTAAAAGGGTCTGCACTACGGGCTCGCAATTTGAGACGAGTTCATGTAGACGCCGCTCTAACCTAATGCTGACCGTAACATAATCTCCAATGCTAAACTCAACACGTCGTTTATGTAAATCAGCTTGGAGTTTATATTTTACATTACTAGCTTCAAGTTGTTTATTGATCTCAATATGCAAATCACGAAGATGTTGTGCAAATGCTTTACTAACATTAACACTCTAGCCTGTGGGGACATAGGAATGAGATCTAACGGCTTCCTAAGCTTATACCCGTGAACAGCTTCAAATGGACTCATACCCATTGAACGATTCATGGAACTGCTATAAACAATTTGAGCTACAGGAATGATCAAATCCTAATTTCGAAGACAACGTAATAGTTTACCAAGACTTCGATTAACTACTTCAATTTGAGGGTGGTAGGCCGTAGAAAATTTCAATTCGGTACCCATCTTTTGCTACAAAGTCCTCCAAAAATAGCTAGTGAAACGAACATCCCTATCGGACACAATGGTCTTAGGAAGCGCATACAATTTGACAATCTCATTAAAGAATAACATGGCAACCTTGGACGCATCTGAAGTCCTGCTACAGGGGACAAAATGAGCCATTTTCAAAAAACGATCGACAACCACAAAAATAGAATCACGTTTTTTTTGGGGTGCGTGGAAGTCCTAATACAAAATCCATACTAACATCTTGCCAAGGACAATTGGAGACGGGAAGAGGAGTGTATAGGCTTGTGTTTTGTCTATTCTGTTTGGCCAATTGACAAGGATTACACGTACTAACAATCTTAGCCACATCTTTCTTCAAACTAGGCGAATAGAATTGGCGTTCAACTTCCTCTATGGTCTTATTACGCCCAAAGTGACCGGCTAAACCTCCTGCATGAATTTTCCTCACTATGAAATCTAGCATTGAAGTTCGAGGGATGTACAATTTATTGGCTCTAAAGAGATAACCCTCCTCAAGTCGGAAGCCATCTGTGGTGTCTGATTATCTCCCTTGCAAATCAAGAAAAATATCTTTAAAATTGGGACATGCCACGTAATCCTCCTTAAGCCTTTCAAAACCGATGATCTTGACACTCATGATCGATAAAAGGGAGACACGATGACTTAATGCATCAGCTACTTGATTCTCCACGCCCTTCTTGTGTTTTAAAACAAATGAATAGGCCTGCAAATATTCAATCCAACGACCATACCTAGAGTTAATCTTTTCTGGGAGTTGAGGTAACGGAGGGCCTCGTGGTCCGAATAAAGGACAAACTCCTGGGGCAACAAATAGTGACGCCAATGGCGCAAAGCCTGGACCACCGCATACAGTTCCTTATCATAAGTTGAGTACCGTTGTTTGGCCTCATTTAACTTCTCACTGAAGTAGGCAACAGGGTGACGACCCTGACTCAAGACTCCGCCTATACCTACCCCGGAGGCATCACATTCAACTTCAAAGACTTTGGAAAAGTCGGGAAGACGCAATGACAGGAGCCTCCATCATTCGCTTCTTGACCAACTTAAAGGCCTTAGCTACTTCTTGTGTCTAATAAAACTCCCCTTTCTTCATGCACTTCGTAATAGGCGCCATAATAGTGCTAAACCCCTTGATAAAACGATGGTAAAATATAGCTAAGCCGTGAAAGCTCCTGACGTCATGAATAGTCTTAGGTTCAGGCCAGTCAAGAATCGCCTGAACCTTGGCAGAGTCAACAAATACCCCTATTGAAGAGACAATGAACCCCATGAAAACAATTGTATCGGTGAAGAAAGAGCACTTCTTGATGTTAGCATACAGATTAGTTGCACGTAGGGTAGAGCAAACTTGTGTAAGGTGGTCACGGTGTGAATATCATCAAAGTAGACAACAATAAACTTGCCCATGAAAGGTCGAAGAGTTTGTGTCATTACCCGCATAAAGGTACTCGACGCGTTGCTTAGCCCAAAAGGCATGACTAGCCATTCATAAAGACCATCTTTCATCTTAAAAGCAGTCTTCCACTCATTACCTGGACGAATTCTAATCTGATGGTATCCACTCTTCAGATCAATCTTCGAAAAGATTGTAGCACCAACCATCATATCTAGCATATCATCAAGTCTAGGAATGGAAAAACGATACTTCACCGTGATCCTATTGATAACGTGACTATCCACACACATTCTTTAAGAACCATCCTTTTTAGGCGTCAATAGGGCAGGGACAGCACACGAGCTTAAACTCTCACGAATGAATCCTTTGTGAAGGAGGTCATCCACTTGCCTTTGAAGTTTAGCGTGCTCGGTAGGATTCATCCTATAATGAGGCAAATTTGGAAGGGATGCCCCTGGGATAAAATCTATGGCATGTTGAATGTCCCGTAGAGGAGGTAGATGATCAGGGAGGTCATCCGGAAAGACATCTCAAACTCTTGAAAGAACGACTGGACTTCAGCGGGGCTCTCTATTATGGAGTTAGATGAAACCTCCATGACTACTAAAGCGAGCACAATTGAGTTACCAACAAGTGTACGCTCAAACTCCGTAGGACTAATGATATGCAATCCCTTTCGTTCCACACTCTTCTTCGTTTCCTATGAGCCAACAGGCTTTGGGGACAGTGGGTTAAGGTAAATCTTCTTTCCATTAAACATGAAGGAGCAAGGATTGGATCGACCATAGATGGTTACATCTAGGTCAAACAACCAAGGTCGTCCCAAGATGATGTGTTCGACATCCATTGAAATGACGTCGCACCATATATGGTCCTTATTCTCGACGAACTGGATAGGGACTAAACAACGCTCATTGACAGCTATAGAAGAGGTATCAACCCAAGAGACGCTGTATGGTTGAGGGTGAGGAACTGGCTTCAACCCTAGACAGGATACAGTAGCCATCGAAACTGCATTAATGCAACTGCCACCTTTCACAATAACTTTCCAGTCCTTGTTATTGATCTTGATGTAAGTGTGGAAGATGGCATGACGATGCCAATCATCAGCATTCCTAGGCTTGGTAAGAGTTCAACGGACGACACCGACTCTAGGCGTATGTGGAATAAGGGGACTAGCCTGAATACAACCTAAGAAGGTATCTTCACTATCCTCCAAGTCATCAAACTCTTCCAACTTAGGTTCATAAACTTGGTCCTCCAATGGCTCGTCAACTATACCTTCACGCTCTTCCATAACTAGGGTTTGGCTAGGACACTTAAAAGAAATGTGACCAAAACCCTTAAGTTGAAGCATTGCAAACGGGAGGGCGCCCTTGGAACCTCAGAACCTATACCTTTACTATATGATACATGGGTAGCATTAGAAGGATAAGGCCCTAGAATAGACTTAGGGAATGGAGTAGATGCAGAAGAGATTGCAGTGTGAGTGTCACTACGAGTTCTATACGGTGTCCTAGTCACTAACTCGTAATCCCGAACGAAAGAGTGGTCAAGAGTGGTGACGCCTCTAAGGACAAGCTCACGCCTAAGGTCATCTCTTAGGCCTTACCTAAACCTACTCAAAGTCATGACCTCATCCTTAATGACCTGACATCTTATTCAAAACTCATCAAACTGCGCGACGTATTCGGTCACAGGTCGATTGCCTTGCGTAAGTGTGTTCCATTGATCCAGCAAGTTACCCCTGTAAGACTGAGGTAAATATTTTTCTTGAAGACGACGCTTCATTTCATCCCAGCTCTCAATAGAGGGAGCATGACGCCTATCCAGAAGGTCCTCAACACATTCTCAAAAGAGTTGAGCAGTGCCAGTTAATTTGAAATTGGAAAATTGTATCTTTCGATCTTCCGGGACCCCATACCAAGCAAAGAAGCGATCCATATCTCTAACCCATCGATTGAATACACTAGGATCTAGACAACCATCAAATGTAGGGCATCTAACTTAATGTTTCGAAAAAGGCGCAAATCGTGGAGAGGGGGAGATTGTGTACCATGACAGTGATATTCCCACTCTCGTCCACGAGCCTGATTTCCTTCCCTATGATCATAGCTGATGTGGTGTTGACCACGGACGAAGTTGAGGTCTATTAATGGAAGCTTTAGAGTTTTTAGTTTCAGTCAAATATGGGGTTGGATCAAAAGTGTTCAACCTAACGGCTAGGGCTCTATTCTCCTCACGAGTAGCGGCTACCTCAGTTTAGACAGCCGTTAATTGATTTTGTATTTGTGCTAACTATCGGGTGATGGCCTCAATTTAGGACGAATCCATGGCAAGGGTACTAGAACTAGAGGTAGTAACACGACCACCACGCAAATGCATACAAAGTAACACTAACTAAGTGAAATGCACTACTAAGATCAATAAACAATAGGTACCAATAGTAAAATAGCAATTTTTTTTTAATTTTTAAGTTACTGAAAAAAAGATGGGATTACGTAGGGTCGAACATGGGAAGCTAATAATACTGATACAAATAAAATAGAAAGCAAGGATACAAATGACTATTCGAAAGGTCTAATCACGTGGGGGTAATCGGAGAACAATGGATGTGAACTCACAAATTCTGATCAAGTGAATTTTTAAGGCTACAATTATCAAATAACAGCAACACAAGTAATGTAAATGATGTGATCTTAAAATGAAGTAGTGTAAACCAACAATAAATAAAGGTTAAGGACTCCCTGTTGTTTAGTTGCTCAAATTGTTGACACGTGGGCTCTGGATATAATTGCGTCCTTTCCTTCGCTTCAGGTGGTTTCCTATGAATATGAGTGACTGCTGTTCTAGTTTTGCTGGTGGTGTATGTAGAAATCGTCCCTCTATTATGGTGTTGGCGGCGGCGGGTGGCAGTGGAGACGACTGTGACTTCTATCCTGAGTGTGGAAGTGAAGGGGTGTACTGCGTCTGGGTTGTGTATAGGTGGAATGATTTGTCTGGTGATTGTGGCTTATGGTGGCCATGGTGACTGAGAAGAAATGGGTTATGGGTTTGAATTGGATTAAGTGAGAGTGAGTTTTAACTAGGATTGTGAGTAATTTGGGCCACTAGTTTATGGCGCAAATGTCTTGATAAAAGGAATGGGCTCACAGGTAATAATTATATATGGGTATATGGATTATTATAGGGTTGGGTTAATGTAAGGTGGGCTGATCTTGTATGTAGACTGGATGTAAGTAGGGTTTGATTGTTAGGGATGAAATTTATGAAACAGCACACTTAGCAGCAGCAAACGCCTAAAACTCTAAAATTGATTTTTTTTTTGGGAAACTACAGAAAAAAATGAAATTCCGGGTGTGAACAGTAGCAATTTTTTTTTTTTTTTTGTGAAACCACTGAAAAATCTTTAAAAAAAACTGAAATTCTAGGTGTGAACAGTAACAAATTATTTTCTTTTTTCCTACTCAACTAGAAAGAAAATTTAACAAGAAAACTGCTGCTTCACAACAAATTTTTTTTGTTTGTGCTGTTCTACAAGTTTTTTGGAAAGAGGATAGGAAGAAAGTTTTGAATTGTAGATAAAAAAATTACCCAAGTTTTGGCTCTGATGCCAAATTTGATGTAGCACCAATAGGAAAATTAATAGAGAAAGAGAAAATCAATGAACATGAAGAAGAAATCAGGGGAAATGATGATAGAAGAAGAAAATAGGGGAAGAAGAAGAATGGGGAAGAGGGAAATTTCGTCACAAGCCACTAAATATCTTTATTCAATCATCAACTAAAAATTAATTACAATGCAAAGTAGTTTAAATATTAAAAACCTAAACCCTAACTAGATTGGGCTTGGGCCAATATAAGCCTAATAAGAATCCAAAACTATAAAGTCCACAAAATGAAGCAAGGTCCAACTAGAAATAAATAAAAACGACTAGATGTCCTCATCATCAACATTCCTGTTGATGCTCCCAAAGTCGTTACATAAAATATTGACAAATTTGTATTCTTTGTGTTTGTGAATTCATGTGAATGCATATAATTATTGCGAGTTGTTTGATATTATTCCTCTTAGAAAAGGAAACTGTTTTTATGTTGGGTCAATATATTTAGTTTTCCTCTTTGTATTTGGTGAATTTTGCTTTGAAAATAATGTGATGGCCATGGAAATAGATCTAGAAAAATATAGTATTCGATTGTTTTTAGTCCATTCTTAAGTGAGAGAGTATCTCTTTCTGATTTAGAAGATTTTCATTTAAAATAACATTAATGTATGTAGAAGAGTATGTGGTTAACAGTTTTTTGAGATCCTTGATTAGCTCGTGATATGATTTTGTTAATTTCGAGTGTTTGTTAATTAAATAAAAACTTGCACAGTGTTCCAAGTCTTTTAATTGTAAGATGGTTGAGAAGTTTTATTTTTATCATTTTTAGGTTAATCATTGGATAGAAGTCATATACCTTGCCTTCTAAATTGAGTCTAAAGTTAAAAAAGAAAGGAAACGAAGTGATATGGCATTAATTCAGAATTAAGCAGGAGATATTGACAAGTACTTTAATAACAACAATGTGAATGAATTGACTGAGAATGAAGAAATGGTTCAACCTGTCAGAGTAAATGAAACAAATGGAAAGGAAGAAGACGATGTTCAATGTATAAATTTAAATCAAGAGGTTTTCGTTTCTTTGAATTTGGAGGATCATAGGAATTGGAAAACATTAATAAATAAAAAAAGAGGGACTATTTAGTTGAAATTGGTCCAAAAATAGTTTATAATATATTGTTTTCCAAAGATGGTGCAAATAGACATTTCAATTCTTCACAATAGAAGTGATTATTGCCAAATGGATAAACAATTGATAGAAGATGCTAATATATTTTTTGCTTTTGCCGCAAATTGTTTAAAACATCAAAAATTTCGATTAAAATTGGTCGACCAGGTAATAATGAATACAAATATTGGCATAAGTTGCATCAATTTGTTAAAAGTCATGAAGGAAATTAGGAGTATTTACGTTGCCTGACTAGTTGGATTGAATTGGAAAACATGCTTCAAACAAAAAATACAATTGATAAAAATGTACAATAAGCGATCTTGCGTCGAATGTGCTCTTACATTACTGGATCAAACTAGGAACAATTTCTACCATTTGCAAATAGAAGCCATTGTTCTCAACGTGAAACCTCTCATTATCTCCTCGAAATGTCGAGGTGTTTTTAACAAGTCTTTTCATAATAGCGTTATCATCGTTAGCACCTGTCGAGGTGTTTTCTTTCTGCATTGATCATCAATTGCAAGCTTGTATCAATTGTAATTTTTTCAAAGCTGTTTTCCAATCAATCCAATTAGTCATGCAACTTAAATACTCCTTATTTCCTCCATGACTTAAATATCAAATTATGCCAATCTTTGTATCCATCATTATCCAATTGACCAATTTTAGTTAAATATGCCTATTTGATAGTAATCGCTTATATTGTAAAGAATTAAAATGTCTATTTGCACCACCTTTGGAAAATAAGATGTCATCAACTCTTTTTGGACCCATTTCAAGTAAATAATTTCTCATTTTTTTATCAATACTTTTTCAATTCCTAGGAACCTACAAATTCAAAAGAAAAGCAACCCCCTTAATTTAAATTTTTATGTTGAACATCATCTTCTTCCTTTTCATTATTTCATGTACACTGGTTGAATCACTTCTTCATTCTCAGTCAATTCGTTCATATTGTTGCTATTAAAGTATTTGTCAATATCTCTTACTTAACTTAGAATTACTGTCATATCTTTTCGTTTCTTTTTTCTTTTTTGAGTACTGATTTATATTTAGGAAGCGTGGTATATAAATACTGTTCAATGATTAATCTAAAGATGATAGTAATAAAGCATCTCAACCATCTCACAATTGAAAACTTCAACATAATCACTATGTGTGCAGGTGCAATTGTTCCTACAATCAAGTGCTAACAAAAGCTAATATAACTTGACAATGATGCAATAAAGTCAATACTTCAATCTGATTGTATAAGCCATTGCTTTCTTGATAGGGATGACAAAAAAAGCCCATTAAACCTGATACTTGTAGGCCCGTCCTGTTCAGGGCTGGCATTACCTACTTAATCAGTAAATCGGGGTATTCGGGACGGGGGCAGATATTAAGGTACCCACCCGCCCCATTATTATTTTTAAAATTCTAATTTTCATTTTTTAACTTTTAACTTTTATCTTTTAAGTTGTATCAATTTTAGACCACACCTAATTAACTAAACCTTTAACCCAATGCCCACTTGCCCAAAATTAGATATTTAGTCTTTAGATTAGAGTCAGTTAATGAAGGAGTGACTGGGGGGTAACGAGGGTATGAGAGTTGAGGGATTTTTATTTTTATTTTTTTCATTTTCCACACAAGGTTGCGCACGGTGCATCTCTAGCCTCTCTTCTTGCCGACCACCATCGTCTCTGCATCTCTTGCCATTGTCGTTGCTGTCAACTTCGCCATCAATGTTTATTTGATGTACGTGATTTTTATTTGATGTTGTGTTGGTTTCTCGTTTCCCTTTGAGAAGACTTCTTATCCAGGCTCATTTTAAATCTTCGTTACTTTTCTTTTATATACTATGTGTTAATGCATTAGATTTATCATAGGAATTTTCATAGTAGTTTTTTTGCTTTTAGGTTATAGTGGAGTTATGATTATGCCCAAAGAATAATGCAGTAATTGTAGTATAGCTTTGGGATGTCGATTCCACAGGGAGATGGACAAATTGTTTAAAGGATTTAACAAACTAGGGTTTTTGTGGTTGTGAGAAGAATTTAACAATTTGAATGAAATTTAAATATCAATGCATACGATTAATGAAGCACCAGAATTCACTCTTTCGGATTGGATCAATCAACATCAACTATTCATGCATTTTACTAAAAGATTTAGGCTTTCTGATACACATTCCCACATTTGCTCATTGAAATGAGATTAAGAAACGTCCATATACATCAAGCATAAGGAAGTAAATAATCCACCAATGACATAAATGAAATTGAAACTCAACAATTATTTCGATCAATCGATAGAAAAAGCATGACTAGATCTATAATTAACCTAGTAAAGGTTAAATCAATCTCAAACAACTTTATATAAGCAAGAAACCTAGATCAATTTAATCTCACTTGTAATCCTGGAATTTAGATTTACTAAGAACATATTCCGCGCTTATTTATTGAAACAAGATTCAAGAAACGACAATATACTTTAAGCATATAGCAATAATCAAATCACGTCAATAAATTAATTGAATTTAATCTCAACCAATATTTTAGTCATTCAATTGGAAAAAAAACATGATTCAATCCATGAACAATTTAATAAAGGTTAAACAAACTTCAAAAGTATAAATATAAAGAAGAAATCTAAATCAAGGAATTGTTCATTAATGAAGGAGCTTGTTACATGAATGAAAAGATATAAAAATCACCAAATCCGATCGAGATCCTTCGTGGCTTCACCAAAGATTTTAGTTCTCCAAGGAATTCTTGAGCCAAAAGCCAAAGAAAAGTGGTGTGAAGATGAATAACGGCGTTCTGAGATGACATAGGGTCATAAAATCGTGTAGGAGATGTGTTTCCAGAAGTTTTGGACTAAAATTAGGGAACTAGAATTTTCGCCTCAGAAGTGAACCATGTGACCACATAGTATTAAGTGTTGCAGTTACATAGAACAAATATTTTCAACCATGAAGTTCCTTGGAGCCTTCTATGCGACCGCATGGTTTTTGAACTATACGACCGCATGGTTCAACCATTTTCTTCGCCAGACGAATTTTAGTACTTGGCCATAACTTTCTCTCTCGATATCCGATTAAGGTGATTCAAATTGTGTTAGAAAGCTAACTCAGAGGGATACAAATTTTCTTTAGATATCATCTTCCGATTCGATCATTTGACATGTCAAAAAGGGGTCCCAATATGAGGCTGAAAATCGGTGCATAACTATTTCGATTAGGAATTGATATATGATCATACTTTGATGATATTTCATCCCTTTAACTTTCTTCCTCATCCGCTTGACCTCTAACACTCTCGAATATTCATCATAAGGTTAGACATAAGTTTGGAGTATTTGTACTTTAGTCCGTGAACTTTCATTTTCTTCCACTTTGATCCTTTTTCGTTCTTTTCTTCTGACTTTCAACTTTTCTATTAAAATGCATCCTGAATCAAAATATAAGTATAATGAGTGTATTTTGGTACCAAATAATCACACGAATGCAATAACTACGAAGGAAAAATATTATATTTTACAGTCTTATCAAGTTACTTTGTGCGGTTGCTTTTGCTCCCAGTTCTGTGCGGGTATATAAATTTGTCAATTTACGATTGGATGCAATCTTCCTTTGAGGAAATCAAAATGATGGCTTCAAGTATGATTGACAAGTTTGAAAAATATTGGAGTGAGATTCATGGAATTCTAGTAGTAGCTAATGTGTTGGATTTAAGATTTAAAATGAAGTTGGTTGAATATTATTTTCCAATGATTTATGAAAATGAATTTTCGGATCTTGAGATTAAAAAAATTAGAAAATTTTGTCACAAGTTGCTAAATGTGTACAAAACAAGACATGGATCAAGTGGGAACGTGACTTAATCTTCTACCCACACTGAGGCATCTACTTTTATAAGCAAAAAGATCGGTTGGCACAATTTGATTTATTTGTTTGTAATACCACTAGTACTAACAATATGAAGTCAGAGCTTCATATTTTCTTGTACGAGCCTCTATTACCTAGATCGAATGATTTTGACGAATTGGCATGGTGGATAGCAAATTTAACAAAATATCATTCTTTCCAAAAAGTTGCAAGAGATATTTTAGTTATCCCAATATCTACAGTGGCGTCAGAGTCTGCATTTAGTACCAGTGGTAGATTTTTTAGTCCACATAGAAATAGGCTTCATTCAAAGACTTTAGAGGCTTTGATGTGTGCTAGAGATTGGTAGAAGCTGACATTCATGGTACGAGAAATACAATTTCATGTGTTTTTCATAATTATTTTTGTTATTTCTTTACCGCTAACTAGTTTTATTTATTGTTAGCACATTAATCGCCAACATCTTACTCTAGATGTTGTGCACAGTTGAGTGACACTGATCTTGAAGATGAGGTAAACTAATTTTTTCTTTAAATGGACTTGAATATAAAAGTTAAA